GCAAAAGCATCGAATGAGTCGCCAGTATCTTCGATCGCTTTCGTCGTAGCGGCAAAATTATCCAATTGTTCTTCGGGCCTGTAAGCCTGGTTTCCAGGAAATTCCGTTCCAGGGGTCGGACTGGTGGAGATCAGGCCACTGCTGACCTTCTTGGTCGGTTCTCCGAAATCACCTAATAAATCCGAGGCAAAGGCAGAATGCGTGACTTCCGACGGAGCAAACAAAGGCTGAGCTGCAGCTGCGAAGGGTGCGGGCGTGGTTTCGACTATGCCGAAGGGTGTTGTTGTGGTTGTATTAGTCATGGAGAAAAAGTTCGCATCAGCACCGGTAGAAACCTGTTCTACTTCTATAAAACAATATATAGAGTTATGTGAAATATAATGAAATTAAAGCAATGTAACACTATTCTAGATGAATTGATATTTTTATTTATTTTATTTCCACATAAAAAAAAGAGAAGAGATTTTCTAACCTTGAAAGAGTTCAGTAGCCCCTGTCAACATAGGTCGCAAGCATTCAATCGCAGAGACAGGTTCCGCGAGGTCCAAGACAGTACCGGATTGTCCAACGTCTGTTTCTATAACCGTGAAAGGAGTCGTAGAGGTCATTGAAGGCCGTTTCTCGTTACTAATAATATCTTCTGGATATTCCATTCCAAAGGTAGGCTGCGCTTGCGGTACCACTGCCTCTTCGCTCATACTTGCGAAGGGATTGTCTTTGGTAGTAGTAGTCATCGAAACTCCGGTGATGAGACTGGTAGTATCCATAGTGGTCATGGAAGTAGAGAAGATACCGGTCGGGGTGACTTCAGAAGGCGCATCAAAGAGATCCATGATGTCTTGATTTTTTGGCGGCTCAATAACTTTATCATCTGGGATCAGATCCGGCACATTGCTGTCGACGTCCAGAAGATCGGCAAAGCTGTGCTCCGGAGTAGGTGACGGGGAGTGCATCAGCGTGGGGCTGGGCGTTCTAGTTGCTTGCAAACGATCCAGAAGATGGTTTGAAGTAGCGTCCATTGCTCCCGTAACCGACAATATCAGATCCTTCGTGTTCTTGGCAGGTGGTTGTACCGGTGGATGCGGTATTGGTGGTGGTTGTGGTCTCGGTGGAGGTGGTCTTGATGGCGGCGGCTTTCCATTCTTCGACGGAGGTGTTGCCGCTGGAGATGGTTGAGGCGGACTAACGATCGTCGTCGATTGTTTCTCGGCTGTTGTCGCCGTCATCGTACCAAATAGATCTACATTCGTATTATCGGACGTGACGAAAATATTCGATGGTTGGCTAGTGAAGACGTTGGTTGCTGGCGTATCAGTGTCGACGATCGCTCCGAATCCGGTATTCGGAGCGGTACTTTCAATGCCAAAGGAGGCAAACGGATTAGTAGAATCGACGGATATTGGTGGTTCGTACGCTGTTTGGTCGCTGCCGAAATTTAAAAAAGGATTCTCGCCTGCGCCGGAAGTTGCCGCGTCAGTGAAATCTTGGAGGAAAGGATTGGAAGCCTGCGGGGGCAAACTGCCCCCCGGTTCCGTCACATAATCGTCCATTAAGAATGGATTACCACCCTTAGAATCCATGATTGAATTGACTCAAAAACTCTAAGAGTTAACTGTAACAATTGTTGAGCGAAATCTGTACTTCCATAAAAATAGAATAGACTAATTTTAGTCTGTTTGTCTGTATTCTGCGTGTTAGGCAGATATTTTTTGGTACAATTTTAATTCGTCAATTAACACAAGCATTTTTGGAAATCTCCCGTTAGATTATAGTATATGTAGAAATTATTGCTGACGTAAGCAATAAGTAGAGCATTTATATAGGATTTAAGCTCTTCATATAGCTTCAAAACAAATAATCAACTTGTATACTTAATTTGATTAACAATGAGATATTCAAAAGATTGCTCTAAAGATTCTGAAAAAATAGAGCTGTATATAATAATTGATAATATTACTTCATCAGTTCGGATTCGAGTAATTTCAGTTCAGTCCGCCCAGGCTCGATAGTAGCAAAGCTAGTATCGAAGGGATCCACGTCGTCGTCCAAACTAAGATCTTTATTCTGAAGCGGCGTCAACACTTTGTCGCCGGGATCCTGTCCGTCCAAAGACAAAAAGTCTTTGGACTCCTTTACTTCGTCCGCTCTAGGATCGAAGTCGTCAATTTCTGGGATTGTCGATGCTATGATAGGTACCACCGTAGGTAGAACAATGGAGCGCGGTGGTGGTTGTTGAGGAATTTGCTGCAATTCACTCTCCAATATCTTCAATTCCGCTTTACCGGGCAAAATGTTAGTCGCAATAGAAGTGTCGAAAGGATCCGAATAGGAAATCTCCTCTTCCACGATAGGTTTACTCTCGATTCTAGGTGTCAGAGGTTTTGCGTCGACTTCGATTTCCGCATCCAATAAGCTCTCCTGCCTCTGGGGTTCTTGTCTTGGTATCACTTCCTCTTCAACCTTTTGTATCAGCGACGATTGTAGCTGCGCAAGTTTTAAACTACTCGGTGCGACCGAGGTAGCCGTAAAGTCGCTCTGTCTTCTGATTGGTTCTGCGGTAGATCTCGGATCGAAGTCGTGATCACTTAAACTATGAGGCAACTTGGGTTCCTGCCTCAACAATTCTGACTCAATGAGCTTGAGCTCGGTCTTGCCTGGCGCGACGTTATTGACGAAACTCGTGTCGAATGGATCGACATCTACTTCATCTTCCTCTGTTGGCAATGACTCTTCTATAGACTTCTGGGAGTAGTACGGTGTCAGCGGTTTAGAGGGTAGTGTCTTCTCCTCTTCGGTAGTCGCGAGAAGGTCGGGTCTCTTTGACGGCGTCGGCAATTCAAATGCAACAGCTTTGGTTGGAGCTAGTTCGAGAACTTCCGGCCGGGAAGTCTTTCTCTCAAGATCCGTTGGAATTGCTTCGACTTTCTCGTCCTCTTCAAAGTTAACAGTAAACACAGGCTCAAGTGGCGCAAATTTAACAGGCTCAACTGGCACAAATTTAACAGGCGCGGATGGTCTAGGTGGTGGCGGTTTTGTAGGTAACTGCTTTACTGACGCCTCATCTTTCCTTGGATCAAAATCGTTATCGTCCTCGATGCAACTGTTAGATTGCTCACCGAGTAATTCCTTTTCTAAAACCTTGAGCTCTGTTTTGCCGGGTGGAAGTTCTTTCACTGCAGATGTATCAAAAGGATCGACGTAAGTGATATCCTCGACAGGCGCTATTGGTTCGTCCGCCAATTGACTAAGATCAGTGGTCGAACCGCCTAACAAGTCCTTCTTTGATGACAGCAAACTGTTATGATCATCTTTCTGTTCATCATCTAACTTCAACAGGCCAGTTTCGTAATCTCTGTTAAAGCCAGCGGGATCAGTTAGTGATATGGATACTTCTGAGACAGGTAGTTCTTCAAGTTCCTTCTCGATAAATTTCAACTCTGTTTTACCTGGTAATATATTATCCGCGAATGTAGTATCAAATGGATCGGCCTCGTCGACAAAAGTAGCCGCTTCGAAGCTGGCCTCAATTATTTCTGTCTGAAAATCGGTTGTTCCAGGATCTTTCGTGGCAAATGGATCATCGGCTTCCTCGAGACAAGTTGACTCATTTAGCGAGGCGTTCAAATCAAATTCAGCGTCATCCAAGTCAGGAATTTCTTCTAAAATCGTTTTCTCCTTCAAAACTTCGAATTCAGAAATATCTAATGGGCCATTTGATGTTTTCTCAGTCGAGGCTGCGTTCTCTTGAATAACTGTAGGAGTAACGGGGCTGACTGGTCTTGGTAGTACAGGCGGTAATTTCGTCAAATCAACGGGAATATCGGGAAAATCGCTGTCGTCATCTAGCAAAGTCTTTTCTACTTCTGTCGGTTCCGCTACAACAGCTTCCGCCGACGGCTGTTCCGCCTCGTCAAAATCGTCTAACAATAGATCTTGTTGAATTCGAGGTCTCCTTCCCTTGGTGATCTTGCAAGTGCTTACATAGTCTATTCTTCCCGATAACACCTCAACAGCATTGCCTAAACTGACTAGCTTATTGCCCTTTTTATCGACTGTACGAAGAACCTTGTCGGCGTTGGTGGTGTCAAAGGGATCGTCCCCAGTCTCTTCCTCGGTCGGACTGTCTGGTATGTAAGCTAATTGAACGTCGATGTTTTGAAGAACATCGACATAAGTGGTGTCGAAGATATCCTCATCGGCGGAATCCTCTTGCTCATCTTCATCCTCTGGTACATTTACAAAACCGTCCTCATTAACGAGTGATTTCTCTTCCTTTGTTTCTTGACCGTCGATCTCCGGCGGTACAGCTTCGATTGGATTACCCTCCTTGTCGAAGCCTACCCACCTCTTCGAGGATGATTTGTTGGAGTCCTCTTGCTTTGCCTCCTCTGGTTTCTTCTCTTCCAACGGCGCCTTTCGCTGGAAGAATGAAGTAGACTTTATCCGATCGAGGTCATGTTGAGTCTTCTTCAAAACCGAATCGACGCCAGCAGTCAAAGCCTGGAACTTTTTCCACTCGTCAGATCCGGTACCTTTGGCTGATTCGCCGGCTTCCTCGGCTTTCTGTTGGGCTTCTGCTCGCTCACGCCGATAACGCTCGAGCTCTTCCGGATCAAACTCCTCCTCCTCCGCTCCCTTCTTGCCCTTCTTCGGCTTTTTCTTCTTCTTCAGCCCCTTGGCTAACTTGTGCATCCTCTAAGACCTACTGTGGTGCGTGAGAGGCTCCTGAAAATAGAAATCCAGATTATTGCACAAAAATATAGAATCTATTGCAATCTATGAAAAATATATTTCTCCAGTGATAAACATGAGTAAAACATTTTTGGAAAAAAATCACTTTTATTATATATTTTTACAATTACACTGTGTAATTTCATGAATAGGCGATGCAAAATATTCTATATATTTTGGAACAAATAATAAAAATTTCTTAATTATGCTATGTTTCTACATAATTAAGACAGTATGCAAACATCTTAAAAATCATGGAGTCATTAACTATAGTAATTTACGTCTCAGAATTAGAGATTGACAATGCGGGATCATTGCCAAAAGAGGCCAATCGATCGTAGTGCAGTAACCGAATGTTTTTCTCCCGGTCTTCAACTCAATTCCGTTCGACAAGCAAAAATAGCGACCGGTCGAAATAAAGGCAAAATATTTCTTGGAGATGTGCTTTACGAGTGACATCTAACTTCCTCACAAATGACTTGCCAGACCTGTCAAAGTCGTCAAAGACAGTTAAAGCTTTATATAGAAAGCCGATAAATTAGATTTTCGCCGAGAAACGTACATTTTTGTCGGAATTTCAAGATTTTCATATTTCCGTTATATTTCAACGACGTTGACTTGCGACGAATTCGATAAGAATACGATGCATAGTCCACAAGAATGTCTGGAATCATACATTATTATGCACGACGCACTATGCGAATGTGAGAGTAGTAGGAGACCGGGGACAAAAGTAACACGGGACAATAGTAACATCGTTAATATTTCTTAAACTATAATGGATATATGTATGCGGCTGCATAGTAAAATTCTGTAGACAGATCGGCATTAAATCGTTCGTTACATGCTGATTCTCGCGGAATGTGCACGAGTGTAGGAGCAAAAATTACTTTTTTCATGCATCAAGTTTTATTGCATGCATAAAATCTACAATATATTTTTTCTTTTTAATGAAGGTATAGTGTATTATCATAATATGTTTTAATGATTATCTGCGTTGATAGTTTGTACATTTGGGTTGATTTTTATCTAGGTTTTTATTTAAAAAATTTACTATAAATCATAAAATATCATTAGGGGACAATAGTAACATCAATGCTTGAAGTCAGTTGTAACATTACAATTATCCCCAAACTTACTTGATTTTATTTTAGTATTATTTTGTACAATGTTATTTGTATTTTTCTTCATAGAATCCCATTAACAAGAAAACACAAGACAGATAAGAGAAAAACTATATAAAAGAAGTGTTTTTATACAAACAGAGACATTTAAAGAAGTTATGAAGGACCAGATATCCATTTGTGCAGCTGCAAGAAAGAGTATAACTTATGTTGTTGTGTTACATACCTCTGGCAAATGTGGTATAATTATCCCCCTCTACTGTTATAATCGTTACTATCATTCCTGGGGGTTGGGACGGTTGTAACAAAATTCCTCATAATTTTAAACAAACATAACTTTTTTTCTAGTTACATAAAATAATTAAACCAAAGAAAATTTTGTATCTAAATAAATTCTATATTTAAAGATACATATTTTTTTAATGTAAGTATCATATTTTAACTGTTATAACACTTCAAAGTGTTACTTTTGTCCCCGGTCTCCCCTAATTTACAAATGTTTTTAACCGTCTTACGTGTTATTATTTTATGTTAAGATAGACAAGATCGATAGATAGATTACAAGCTATGTACACTAACGCCCTGATAAGCTTATAATCGTATGACACACGTGCATATTTGCATTTTAATCGATATACACCAAACTTGCAAGTATCGATAGAATTTAATTAATGTACCAGCGTGTGATACAGCAACGGATCATCAATAAGATGATAAACATGTAGTATAGTACTTTCTATTTTCGACATTCTCGCATGGCGAGCTTCGAGAAAAAATCGTAAACTAAAATGCGTCAGTTGATGGAAGAGGTACGCATATTAAAGAGGATGGAGGATAAAATGAAAACTCCTCTCGATCATAAAGTCTTAAATGTGACACTTTTGTCTTTTGTACGTGATCATGCTATGCACTACTCTTTGACGACGGTAAGAGCACCCTTTTACACGCACAAATCCCTCGGCGTAGTTAGGTTTTATCACGGGTCGCCGAGCAACTCTGGCTATGAATTAGCCCTGGTCTGCACTGTAGTGATGCACACATACGTGTTTAGATGATATGAAAAATTCGCGTATATGTGTCACGAAATTATAATCGATATGCGAAAAAGCAAGCGAGCTGATTCCGGCAACAGAAAGAAATTTCTTTGGTAATGTACCCAACAAATACTTTTATAAAATGTTGTTATAGAAAGAAAGCGCAATTAATGCGCTTTCCCTCTATTAATACTAATTATTAGACTGCAGTCTAAATTTTAAAATAAAAGCAGCGAGCAATCAAAATACTAAAATTAAATATAAATCAATTTGGATTTTGTTCTTGTATAAGTAACTTAAAAAAAATGTTTATCAAAAAATGTTGAATTACCACTCGCATATCAAAGATGTACGTTTTTGTTGTATTATGTGCCAATATAACAAAAAGTAACATACATAAAATAATCTAAGAAAAAAGGAAGCATAAATATCCAGTGTGGAAGACCATCATGAAGAATTTCTTGAATTTCAGATAGCGTTTAGGTCAAACCGATTTCTGTTAGACGTTCTAGATTAAAGCGATCGACAGTGGCTTATGTCAGCGCCTCTTTTGCTTCTTCTACATAGCCAAATGGAAATAAATTATGCATATCATGAATGTTTAATACACACATTTCGTTAATTAAAAATCCAAGTGCTCTATCTGTTCCTATTTCGTTCGTCAAATAGCATTTTTCTAAAATCGTTCATGAATCGATATTATCGATGATCATATACACAAGATACTTCGGAAATAGGGTAACAGTAACAGTACATGACATTTTTGATAATAAAGATATTATTTGGATTTAGTATAATTGAGATTACAATTAATGTTTGTTAATAAAAGAAACTTAATTGATCAATTGACGTTTTTAATTAATATTTACATGATAATATTATCAGTAATATATGAATTATATTAGTTGTCATTTATCTACTAAATCAAATAAATTGACATAAATATGTTTACTTAAAATTTTTCTACATATCATTAAAAAAATATAAGGATGTATATCTTTAACGATTAATATAATGTGACATTTTAGAAATTACGTCACAAATTATAAATTACAAGTGCACAGATTATGCCTTAAAATTATGTCAGATTTTCCAAATAACAATTTGTAAACTTTAATTGCAAAGAGTTATTTATAAGGCGAGATCGCGGGTGGGAAAACAAATAATATATAGCACGTTTGCAGTTTTATATGTAGAAACTAATTGCAAAAACTTTTTTAAATTTAAAACAAATAATATATTTATCGCATTAAACGTCAATGTCACTGTATTTAAATTAATTATAGTATGCAATTTTACCAGATTTAAAACAAATTGAAACAATAATTAACGGGTTAATGAGAGTGCAGCACAGATTACGATGTGCAGAATCGTGTAAAAATCTTACCAGATTTGTAACCATCTGTATTGAATACGGAACAGTTAGCGACTCTATGGTATATTGTGTCATGCATTTTTTCAAATTATGTGTATACGAAATAAAATATAAAAATGTATTTATGGAAATTATTTATATGTTTAAGAAAAAATATAAAGAGACAAGGGAATAAAGCAATCTTGTGCGTCATCGGACAATATCCATTAAACTTCGTCTTACTCATTACTTAATTAGGTCATACCGTCAACGAAAAGATTCAAATTCAATAACCAATTGCATCTGTCATAAAGCTATATTGTAAGTAAAGATAGCGTAGTGTATTAACTGTAACGATATCCCTCGAGAGCTCTACCAGTAATTGTATGCATCTGTCACTTATACATTCTACCTGAAGTCTGTCACGAGGTTCCTGAATAAGGGAATTTTGAGAATATATTATTATAATTCCGATTATATCTTGTTTCTCGATTGTAATTTCGGCAGTTACAGGGTAAATAGTAAAAAAACGGTCAATGATATGAACATGTCTATTTTACATGCTTATGAAAATTTATTTTAAAAGCTTAATATATTATATTATTTGTAAATTATAAAATAAATATATACAGGCTCCATCTTTTTATCTGTGAGATTTTTTCGAACAATTCCAAGTAAATATTTTTAGCATAGAATATCGGACTTACAACTTACAATGCAACAAAATTCCAAGAAACCGTAGTTTCATAAAAGAAAAGTAACGAGTTTTCAAAAATATGAAATAATACGCAACACGCGGCGATAAAAATCAATACTCTATAAACGCGGTATTTAAAGAGAAGCTGCTAAACGTGTCTTTCCTGCGGTACAGTCGATCACCGGGACAAGATGGAGAAACGCAAACTGCCAAAGACCACTTTTCCTGATCGATCAGGTCTTCTAAGTCTTATTGCAGTTCACCGTGTATTAAGTCTTGCCACAGTAGTCGCTGCTGTGTCAGCCACATTCATCGAGATACGGGGGACTACGAGTGCCTCAAGAAACACGCGAGTGCTTCGCCGCATCTAATTTTATCTCCACCGAAGGAGTTCGAAAGCAGCGCTATGCCGATAATTCATACTTTGCATGCAGATTTTAGAGGTCCAATAGATAAACGTTTAAGAACAATGAATCACTGTGCGGCGTTTATGATATTTCAATTTCTCAAAATCTCTCCGAAGGCAGGGATTCGTAAGCAAGCGTATACATTTAACAATTCAAATTGTTGATAACTTACGTTTAAATGCAAATTTGACTTGGTACAAATTAAGCATGCTCGAAAAACTGAAAAAAAAGTAAAAAATAAAATTTGTAATCCCATTCTTTTTATATGGTATCCCAATAAAATAATGACTAGTCACTGGGATAGAAGTATATATCATTAAGTGATCATAAAAATCAAATTTAAAAGTCAATTATACGTTCTTTGAAGCTAATGCTACCAATAGGCTAAAGGAAGATCAAAAGAAAATACTGTAGATATGTGAAATCAGACATATGATAAAATACGTAGGTGCGATTAACGACGCTTCTTATGCGGCATGCATGGAATATAAAAAATGACACTGAATTAGCCCGATTTTTCTTTCCTAATTTCCATCTAGGACGTCTATTACTATGTAAGCTACGGCCATGAGAGCCACAAACCATCGACTTGCGGCGACATTAATTAAACGTGCAACTAGTAATCATATACTATATACCATGATGGAATTCAGCAATGCGCCCGAGATTATCTAAATTCCATTTAGAATTATAATGTACGCGTTTCACATCCTAATCGTGAATAAGTGGACGGAGGACTATTTTCGATTTGGAGTGCACAATTACGTATCGAAAGTAACGACATGAGATCAATGAACAGAGATGCGGTCGTCTGTTGCAAACGCAAAAAATTTTGTAAATCAACGAAAATAATATGCGACTTGTAAATGCGCTGCGCGATTACAGGAAGATGCCGGAGTGGCGATCAATCTGGTCGAATATGCGAGAGCGCCCGCCGTCCACCGGGGGTGGCACCCTCGTCCGCCTTTCGGCGGCGGCTTCGCCAAACCGGGGGTCGTGCAATACTTACGATTTCAGCCTCATCAGCCACGTTGATACGACACACATTTTTTTCGCGTCATCCCGCTCGACTTAGATCTCAGATCGCGGTTCGAGGTAGTTCGGCACTCGCAGCCGGCGTATTTGGTCCGTGAAAGAAGACAACGACGACGACGACAGCAGCGGTAGCGATGTTGGCGGCGGCGGCGGCAAGCGTCGATAGAGACGCGAAGGCCGTGCCGAAAGCGAAGGCGACTCACCTCGTACTCTTCTGCGGGCCGAGCTATTTTCAGCATCGATCCATTTCCATCGGAGAAGAAACATGCGCGCGGCCACACCACCCACTGCCCCCGGCGACGGCAGCGACGGCGGCGGCCCCAAGAATTGACGGCGTTTCCTATCAAAACGACGGAATCGTAGCCGACAATGTTCAAGGGTGAAGGGTGATAATTGGAAAATCGCGATACCTTATAACATCCAATAATGGTACCAGGAATTGAAGGACAGAAATCACCTATTAGTTCAGAAGGCAGCTGGATTTTTTCACTTATTTCATCAAACTTACTTCATGAATTAATTTTATTGTTATATCGAAATACAATTGCTGAAATGACGGTCTGGCAGTGGCGTTGCGGAAAATGACGGGGCAAGACGATACGTGCTTAAACTTGTAAAAAAAAAACAATGCACTCACATTATAGTAACTAAAACTTTTTTACTAATTACTGACTTCATTAAAAACGATATAATCATAATCTGGCAGCGATCCTTTAATTAGGACGTAACATGATGGTACACCTTCAATCATGTAAAAAAAATAATGCTTTAGCTTCATAATATCAAAGTTGAAGTTTTTTGTAATGATAATTTATATAATAAAACGTAAAAAGACGGTAGCCTAGCCGCTTGCTGATGGAAAGATAGGTCTGGGAGATGATGATAACGACGATGGAAGTTCTTGATGAAACGTCCTGAAAGTTGCCAGATTATATCGTTTTTAAGGAAGACAGTGCTTTATAGATAATGAAAAGTCCAAAATCGAGATATAAAACGTCTTTAAGACATCCTTTAAACGTTTTTTTTTAAGACGTTTTTAAGATATCTTTATGTCTTACATCTTATTTTTTAAATATACATGTTGTCTGGATAATTATAATTAAAATAATTTTAGCCTTGGTACAATACTGTAAATGCATTATTTTTTGTACAAATTTGAGTACGTACCGTCTTGCCCCATCCCGCAGTGGCACTGCCAAACCGTCATTTTAGCAATCGTCTATTTCAATATAACAATAAAATTCATAAGGTAAGTTTGGTGAAATGGGTGAAAAAATCCAGCTACCTCTCAGACGATATGATAAACTATTCTTATTGAGATTTAAAGAATTAATTAAATCGCAAAGAGGAGATGCTAATTTCATGCGAATTTAGAGTCCATATTGATTAGCGTATACCTAATTAGTTCTCTGTTATTCCAGTTCCTATAGCGTGGATTGCACGGATCGGCATAGGCTAATAATAAATGAGGTATATAGAGCTCGTTAAATAGGTCAGAAATATACTACAGTTCCTATTGCTTAGTGATTCTTTAATATGATTGGTTCTTGCCTTTAGTTCTTCGCTGGATCTAAGTATAGGAACCAGTCATATTAAAGAACTAAGTGTTAACGGATTAGTTTTCTCTGCTGAATGCAGCTATTCACTCTGTGCCTGTGATACCGCGACGTCAACCACCGACTGCCAACTGCAAATGCTATCTTGTTTGATAAAAGAAGCATTCGTGTAAACATTACAAAATGCGTTTGCAAAATGCATCTTGTACTAAAATATTGCAACAAGTTTCTCATCAAGCAAACTTACGAATAATAATATTGATATATTACCCTGTTTTTTTAATAATATCCAATTGTTAATCGGAAAAACTTTAAAACTAAATTAAAGACGGGAATGTTAGGCTTGGTACGAAAATGTTACGAGAGAATACCTTGTTATCGATGGTCAAATGTCTTTTTTTACGAACAGAAAAGATTAACATGAATAGAGATGGTATTGTTAACAATGGAAACAATATATTATCTACAATCAAGACTCTTTCGGGACACATATTCGAGGTTTGATAATCTTGTGGCTCTCGCAATATATGTGGGCATGTATATACGATGTATATACATATTCGTATATATTTCTCTTCTTCATACATATATTTCTCCTCTTTGAAATTGTACGTTTATTTTACACGTGGAATTAATATAATTAATAATAATATGAATAATAATAATAACAATAATTATAAGAATAATAATGTACATACTTTCACCGTTGTTGTTTACATAATCGTGGCGGTATAATCAGAATCATGTATATAATGATCATAATTATGACGTAATTAGTACAGGTTTGCCAAGTGAAGAATTACTGTCGAAAAAATTTGATTCGCTCGATTTGATACAAATGTGCATCCGAGATTTATTCAAGACACAATTCGTACCGTCCATTGTTACGCAGGGCGGTCATACGTTAACATTTGTCTGCCATGATCACTCGACAAAACAGCACATGCAATAATAATAATAATAATAATTCGGATAATAATAATTAGAAAAATTAATAATGATGAATTCGAATAACTATCCTTCCCCTCCTTCTCTCTCTCTCTCTCTCTCTCTCTCTCTCTCTCTCTCTCTCTTTCTCTCTTCCTTTTCTCTCTATACATAAGTGCACAATTATTTACATAATCAATATAATGACAAATTCTAGGGTGCCTCTTGAGCGCATTTTAAAACTTGGATTCATCTGGAAATAATCCAGGATTATTTGGCACATCTTTCTTGCGTCCTTTCACATGCGGTCTGATACTTGGCACAATATTGAACCGTCATGCATTGATTGGCTCTTAGAAGATCGATTTTAAATAGCTAAAAATTGAAATAACGATTTTTTTCACCGTAGACACATCTCTCTAAGTCGCGCGTCCATTTTTACGACTGTTTCACATTGAATTTAGTGTATCTATCTTTTTCTCTCTGGATCGACTAACATTACACAGTTGATCTAATCACGACACAGTAGCCCACAATCTCTATACGAACGACACATCTTTGCCGAATTTACCGGAGCTCTTAAAGTCATCGAAGAAAAGAAAAAATACAGAAAAGTTACTTTCCGATATAATACACAATTATTGCTAACGCAAGAATATTTATAAGATACACACCGCGCACTTGCATTTATCGAATAATTTCCAATGAAAAACCACAATGGTCTTTCTCTCTCTCTACTACACATTTTTTTCTTTTCTATTTCGCATCGATCCTTATTTTCGTAGAGATACAATGACATAGATAAACATCTTTTATCCTATTCGATCGCGTTGCGTAATAATCGCTCCCTGTAAAAAAACACTCAGAAGAAACAATTGTTTTATGCGAAATTTTCAAAAGCTTGTATACCGAACCACAGTCGAGCCTAAGTCTATTGCGTTTAACGAATCTACGGGTTCGAAACACGAGTTTCTGCTCTCTAAACAAACACGAAATGTCTAGGGCGAACGGTAAAACGTTAGCGAGTTTCGCCTTTTTCGACATCGCAGACGTTTCCTCTTGCGTTCGAAGAAACGCATAAAGTGCGTCGTTATGCTTGTGGGATCGTCGTTTCGGAATTATTTTTTTTCTTCCTTTATATTAAGAGCTTCCGCTTGGTTAGAATAACAGGACTGCTAAAAATTTCTAACCAAAATTTCACGTGAAAAAACGTGTGACTCTCTATAATCGTATGCAAAAGTTGGATATATATGTATATGACTGATTCACGATAAAAGTAAAAAGAATTAATTACATTACGCGGAGTTAATAATGCATTCACGTTAATATATTCGCACGTGCTACTCTGAATGAGAATCTTTTAAAAAATCTGGATCGAAGCTCCGGTTCCACTTATCAAAATTTATCAAAACGTATGTGCGTAGATCATAGAAAATTACACGATATTTTCACGAGTCCCCCGAGTTAGAAATTTTTCACTGTTAGGAGACATCAGGTCAGGTACACTTCCTCTCGTAGAACGGGCTAATATGTAGAAAGAGCAAAACGCTCGGCAGATGTGCTTTGGCGCACCGAGAAGATGATACTTTTTGTATACTCGCGCATCTAATATAATAATGTTAATCGTTTGGGGAATGGGTCAGTCATGAGAATTTAATCGTAAATACCTCTGAAACTTCGACGTACGAACGTATTTCAGTCGGAATTACCTTCGGATACCAAAAGTAAACTAAACTGCAGCAAATCTGTTTAAAATTTAAGCGAAACTTAAATTTAAGTTTTTCGGCCGATTATCGTCCGTGATTTGATTCACATATTCGCTTAAATTCGAAACATCATTGATGCAATCAAGCCTCGAAAACTGTCGTCTTTCACGGTGGTATATAAACACCATATTCTTTTTTTCTTTTATAACAAATGCAAGAATCTACGTCGAGGAGTAGTTCGTCACAGAGGTTGTGAAAATTTTTTGTAGAACATTCATTCTCTTTTCTATTTCTCTTCTTCCTTTTCTCCCTTTGAAGATTGCTTTCGAGGATTCTCCGTCATTTTCATGGCACCAAAGTACGACAACACGCGCGGAAGACTCTGTCAGGCGAGTAGTACTTGCAATATAATAACCGGGGAAGATTTAAGATTTGCGTAAGAAACATAAAACTATGTAACAGGCACCTGTAGAAGAACCAGTTCTCCGAGTTTCTATCAGACTTGCTTGAAGTCTTACTTGGAAAATTGCGTAAAAGCACTTGTCTTGCAAACAGATACCGCAATACTGGCCTCCGATCGCCGTCCTCACCGTCGAGACACGTACAGAAACGCTCGTCTTAAGCGCGGCGATTAAGACCGCTTAAGTTACTGAACCCAAGACGCAGGCACCCACTGAGGTTCTCGCTCGAGTGAATTAATCTCCGTGAGAAGCTGGTTATACGCCCGATCCGTATCGTTGTTGACGATAAGCATATCAAACAGATGGCCATACTTATCCTCCATCTCACGGGCCTTCTCGATTATGTCTTTTAATTCTTCCTCTTTGAAGCTTTCGTTGTTCTTGATCCTCTTCTGCCTAAGCTTCTCGAGACTCGGAGGCGCGATAAACACAACATACGGCTTTAGATCCGAATTTCGCAGGATCTTGAGACTCTGAGGATGCAGGTTTAAGACACAGATTTTCCCGGAATTAACCACTGTCCTGATGGCCTCCACGGACGTGCCATAGTACGCTTTCTCGTACTCGCCGTGCTCGACGAATTTCCGACAAAGAATATCAGACTCGAACTGAGCACGAGAAATAAAATGGTAATCCTGCCCATCGACTTCGGAATCTTTCTTTGGACGACTTGTATCTGGAAATCGAAAAAAAGAGGATGCATTATTTAGGTTATTTTTATGTTTCATTTATTTTTATGAGATATTTCTTTTAAAAAATTATATTGAAAGGACGGTTTCGCTGAAATATTTAAAAATTTAATTAATTACAGATCTAAAAATAATTTTGTTGGATTATCAAAATAATTATGTGTGCTCAAACTGCTTGCTAGACTGAATCAAAACTTTTTGCAGCATTGCTCATCCTTTTTATAATTTTCTACGTAATTATTCAAATGTCCAACAAAATTATTTTCAGATCTGTATCTAGCTAAATTTTTAGAAACTTTAACAAAATCGATCTTTTCGTGTATAAAATGGTAAATATTTACAACAGATTAATTATTTAATTGTCCATAATTTAATTGTTCATAATAATCCTAGCTTCATTATACAAAATATATTATTGATAAATTAGAGCTCTATATCGGTCGAAGCTAGATCTTAAATACTTAAATTCAATCTTGAATCACACTAAATATGATATATATGTACCTGACATATATACCACACTTGTAGTGTGGTTATAAGCAACATACTAACAAACTGTATGCCGAAATATTTCTGGACTAAACACAATTAAACCACTGTAGTAATTTCGCGAATTAAATTAAATTCTAATAATTTCGATGTTCAAACAGGCATCATATTTCAAAGATGTTAATATGCTAAAAAAACTGTAATTAAATTTATTGCGAAAAATATTACCTCGGCCGGAAATCGAAACCTCTCTTGTATTCCGTACAAGGTAGTCTAATGGCTCAGGACGCTCGTACGGAATACAAGAGATCTGGGTTCGACTCCCGGCCGAAGTAATATTTTTCGCAATAAATTTAATTACAGTTTTTTCAGCATATTAACATCTTTGAAATATGATGCCTGTTTGAGCAATTGTTTAATTGTGTTTAGTCCGGAAATATTTCGGCGCGCAGTTTGTTGGACTACAAATGTGGTATATATGTCAAGTACATATACATATATTATATTTAGTGATTCAAGATTGAATTATTTAAGCATTTAAGATCTATCTTCGACCGATATAAGGCTCTAATTTATCGATTGTGTTTCTCACATATACGGTCTAAAAATGAGATTATTATAAAATATATTATCTTCGTCAATCATGTTAATTTCAAGTTAATCAAGTTTAACAGGCTTTATAGCAGCAGCTTTGCTGGTGCCTTACCTTTTGTGTCTACTTTATACTTATGTACATCTTAGTATATTTCAAGAGTACAATAAACTAAATTAAATTAAATTTTTTTAAATGACACTTACGTGGTATCGCTGCAGCAAAACGTTCGCTGTCTTGCATCAATCTCTGCCTAAGTTCGTGTCGTCCGATGTTGGGTGGTCCGATGAGTACAATTGGCCTCTTGTGATTTGCACGAGGATAGTATAAGGCGACTTCCTCGTACGTCAGCACTTCTTCGCTGTCGTAATCTGTGAAAAAACTTTGCGTCTAAGAATAGTTTTTAACAATTTGTAATTGACATTAGGTCAGCCAATTTAGACTTTACATACCGTCTATGGCAGTTGTCGCGTAAAGTGGGTATCCATCGTCATTGAAGTTCGCGCCGAACTTGTTTCGTTTTTTCTTCTTTGGATTTTTTCTCGCGCACAATAGTGTGCTGGATTTTTTCGAACCTCGCATCGTCGATTTGTCGCCGGCTATCGTCTGCTTCATGGATTCTCGCCTGTACAGATAAAACGGGATACCGTTTTAAACGGGATGCGGTGTTCAAGTATTGGCGCGATTATAATCTTCGATTATAGTTAACTCACTGATGTTGAAACGCTCTGCTAGGTATTAGACCAGCCAGTGTCTGATCCTCTTCACCTTCTCGATATGCCTGCCACCAGTTTGGATCCTCTTGGGAAATTACATGGAGTATATCGCCCTTTTGGAAGCTCACGCCCAACTCTCTGCACGGTATGTACGGGTCTTCCTCGGGATCGTAATCGAAATGCGCTCGTATATGTATCTAGATGCAAATGGTAAAAACTTTATAGTTACAAATGTCATGTTATACCTGCGTTATGTCCGTGCAATAAAGCCGGAACAGCTGTTTCCTATTAGCGTCGATCTATAGATAATACGTGTAACTTACAAGTATCAATGTCGTATCGTTAAGATAAAAGAACAAATGTCATATGCTTATATGTATATGTATATGACATTCGCTTTTGTACATACGTTCACGTACGTTCAGTCAATGTAGATGCACTAAACGAACTTTAATTAAGTAAGTAAACGACAGAGTGATAATATTGATGTTCTAAATAATATTGATGTTCTTGAACTACAGATATCGAAATCGTAAAAAGACATTCAAATGTAAAACGATCAATGTCATTTGTGTATCTTGGAAGTTGAAGGACAAATGTTTTCCTTATCTGACATTTGCCCTTTCACCTCCAATGCCACCACCGATAATATTGGTTGTTCTAGTTTCAAGATTCACGGATACGGTAGTCCACATTTCTAATACGAGAATGTGCTAAATATATCAGGATATGTGCTGTATATGTCGTACCTGGGTCGTGTCTTCTCTCCTTAAATTATTTCTGTGATTCGTTGGAGCCGGAAGTACCAAGAACGTGAGACTACCCTGCATGCCAGCGAGAATATCACAAACTTCGTTGACAGTCTTGCCGCGCATTTCTACTCCGTTCACCTCGAGAACCTCGTCGCCTTCGTGTAGGAGTCCTGACTTGTCTGCCGCACCACCGCGAACGACACGTCCTTGCAAAACAGAATTAATTTTAGTGTTAGAAATAATGTTCTCGAAATTGAACGATAAGATTATACGACAAATATGCAGTAAATCGCCAGTATACTTTTAGCAGAGATAGAGGAAATGACAATTGCATGTAAATATAATTACCTATGATTACCGCATCTCCTTCGTTTCTGACGGTAGCACCTAGAGGTTCGTTAGTTTTCTCAATTCGGATAATTTTAATGTTGTCGACTACACGGGAATCTTTCCAACTAGACGTCGGACTGGGCGGACCACTGGGTGGAGAGGACGGGCTTTGCTTCCTTTGTAAACCTTCTACGTAGGAAACGATAGAGTCGTGCGCCAGAAGCAGAGCCTCCATGTCGTAACTTGTTAGAATACTCGTTAACTCTTCCACGGCGGCTATTGTTTCTGCTCCACCGACACCTGTTGCGGTCGACGACGATTGCCATTTTTCAAGGATGTCCACGCACTGGAACATTACGTCAGAACATTAGAATTATGACATAAATTGAAACACATTAATAATAACAACATAATTAATACGTAAGAGAATCCTTCACGAGATATGTTGAATAATTGATTAAAAATACATGACATGGGATATATATATATACAATTTTTGAGTTATACACTCATGTTTAAAATTCACTGGAAAAAGGTCTCTATTTAATTAAATTTTGCATAGAAATTATAAAAAAAACATCATCATTATTAAAATATTTGAGGAAACAATTTTAATAAGCTTCTCCACATTATTCTAATTAATTACGTATACAATGTTGTACATCATCTAGCTTCATGATTAGGAAGAATTTTTAATTAGTAAACAAAAATGTATTGAATAGCGTTTTAAATAGCGTGAAGAAAATATCCTCTCTTATATTATAATAGATCCTCTCTTTTATTATATTATAAATTATCAATTTTACATACATCTCGTGCTAAACTCGATGCATCATCAGCATGATGTTTGAAAATCTTGCTCGCCCTTAGCCGACTTTTTAAAGTATGACGAGTCGCCAGGGCAGACGCAAATCGATTCTGCACTAAAAGTGTTCGGACAGCCTCGAGCTCGGCTTCAACACCTGAACCCGAAATACCAAGAGCACCTGAAATATTCCGCAGTTGGAGCTGCAGCCTCTCCAGCGTAGCAACGACCTCGCCGTATGCTGAAATATGAAAGGTATACTTGTTAGAAACTTCCTTGCGGAATCCTGTGCCGCCGCACCCGCTGTTTATTTACGCTACACAAGCGGGCTATAAGGGAAGAGCGAGGAACTATATTTAGTAGCATTCAATTTTCAACAACTTTCAGAATTCTTTAAATACCGCTCTCGCGTTTGTAAGTTTATGAAATTAAATGCAAGCCATTTAATGCAAATGAGATAGAATAGGTCTAAAATATTCTTTTCAAACAAAACAATACAAAATTGAAAAAGTTTAAATATTAATGTAAAAATAAATAAAGAATACGAATTGTATTATATTAAATTTTCTTAATTCAGTTTATTTGTTTTTCTTTTCTTGTTTTCCTTTTTTGGTATTTCCTTTTTAGAGAGAACTGCGAGAATATATTTGGAAAAGAAAAATTACTAAGAGGCCTGGGCGGCTCCTCCACTTCTTGGACTGCATTAGGAGTGGCGTGTGTAATTCGACTGACGCCGGTGGTCACCTCGTCCTGTGCGTAAGCAAGATTTTCCTGGCCACTGAGGCTCGTTGCGTGGCTCTCCAAAGCTTGGAGCTTTTTAGAGCCACGGAGAGAACGGCTGAGCATTTCCTGTCTTTCCTCCTCATCTTTCCGTTTTCGTAACTGCTCCTGTAAGTACGATATAACCGGTAAATTATTTTCCTTTACAAGATATAAAAATGTTCATGAAAATTTAAATCTCGTAACAAAATAGAACTCTCCACGTGTATTCTAACAGTGTCGCTGCGCTTGGCTTAGCGCCGAGACACTACCGTGTCTCCAGAAAGTCGAGATATCAAAATTCTATTCGACAGTTATTAAAATGTACGACACGTATTTCTTCACAAAATATTTTCACATATTTTTTTTAGAAGATTAAATACATTCTTGTTTAAATGTATTTTAGATGCATGAATATAATAAATAATAGAATTCTTTAAAAATACCAAGAGAACAGAGAAAATTTTTATTGGACTAAAATTTATCACGATTCTTTTTCTGTAATTTATGTAATATATTTATCTAGTCTACAATATACGCATTAGAAAAATTAATATTTAATATATTTTGGAAACATAATATTTTAATCCAAAACACACTGATTATATTGTCTTAAGGAAATTTTATCTTATTGAAGTATTACAACAATTATGCTGATTATGTAAGAGACTGTGAAATAATTGCTGTACACATCAACTGAAACGAATGTCGCAAATACATACGATTCGCTGTAAAATTTAAAGATCACTCAATGCGTGCAACTTGCGAAAAGTAAGAAGTTCTTAATGAAGAATGATATTAAATTCAAGACTCTAATTGAACTTCTTTGCGAATGCATACCTATTCATCAATTATTTCGAGACAGCTTATATCCAGAAACGTAAAGTTTTTAGTTTCCAGTCAACTAAATCTGGCACAATACACATCAATATACATATCTCTCTCATATATTCTATATTATACCTATATTTATTTTGCTTATTATTATTTTTAATTTATAAAAGTATTTTTAACAAAATCTTTTTCGATAAGAAAACGTTTTATTACTCCGTATAAATCTCGTTACTCAATAATTTTTTAAAATTGAATCGCTTTTGTAGTGTTTTCTAAAGTTTATATAATCGCATTATGTGAATGTATGAATTAATTAAATAGGTTAAATGAAATAAAATGTAAAATATTTGTTGACCGAGAGATTTTCTAAATATTACAAAAAAAGAATGGTTCCCAAGTTTTCAAGAATTCGTAACTGAATATTCATACTTAAAAATTCTATATTTTTATTATTATTTTCGATATATGCAACGCTATATTTAGCAAAGTCTAATTTGCAATAAACTTTTATTTTCTTTATGAGTCAGTAACATCTACTTGCGATCAAATTACATGAATTTGTCATGCTATCGGCGATACTATTTGTGATTCGTGATCTACGCCCACCGGTGTCAGTTGATAAAGTCGTCATTAGTCAGCCGTCGCGTTTTACCGTCGTGAAATTTCAATGCGTATGACATGTCCGATAAAAAATGTTTATCTGTAATGCCGCTGTAGCCGGCAGCAAAACCTGCAAAACATATGACTCTTAATTTTCATTTATATAACGAACACCACGTTTTGCCGTGCGATGCTACATACGTATGAGGATAAACATATCTCAATGAAGCCCTATTTACCTCAATAGTGGACGTAAGGTTTCTTGTACTCAGCTCTCGCCCTTCTGCACAGTGTACTTAGACAACGCAAACATGTATGTGTCAACTTAAAAAAAAAATGACAACAAAATGAATTCCGGGAAAAACCAATGTTTTCAGTCGTTTACATAAGTCTGGACGATCTCTGAGCGATGCGGTATATCTATAATCTGTTTTAACATGTGTGATTCCATTTTGATAAGAATTAATTTACGGAATTTTGTAAATAGAATAATATACATAAAATTGAATTGGGAGAGGAAATCGCAATGCTTTATATATTATAAATTCACAATTATTAAGGATTTTTAAATAGCAGCTTATAGTAATAGGAATATCAAAATGTAAATTGAAAAGAAATGTAAGATATATTGGCTACTCAGTCGATACATTGCAACTAATGTCTTTCATAAAAACAGGAAAGTAAAGAAAAATGTGTTGAATTTAGGACACCTGCTGCGGCGTATCTCGAGATATTAGAGCAGCGAACCGAATTGAAAGTCTGAAATGGGTTCTCCGTCTGTTTGAGGCAGATCAAGAAACTAAGGTCAGGAAAATGGGAGCCGTATAAAAAAAAGAAGGGGCCAGGGAGCTGAATGCAGCAGGCCTGCGAGTCACCCTACGTCTACACCTATCGAAAACTTCGTAACGCTACACTTCAGGCATGTAATCTTAGACTATTGCAGGGGTTCTTTACATTCCAGACCGCACTTGACTTAAGGCAGGTAAGAGTGTGGTGTGAGGATTCCATAAGATAAACAGACTCGCGCGGCCCCGACGACGCCAGTCACGTAAGGGGTTCTGGCATTTCTCACACTTACAGATACTGAGATTGTATGAATTTCAAGCGCGCCGTACTCGATTTACGAGCATATCCAGATCTCATCTACGATTTTCCACGAAGAGTTTCCCTCCCGATTTTTAACGGTTCGATGAAACGAAGTTCAACAGGAGTGAAAAATTATTCGAGCGGGACATCAAATGGATCTTCACGCCGCGTATTTTAATTTCAAAAAGAACTTTCTTCTGCCTCTATCTTACGCCGAATTACATTTATTAACAGACAAGTCAGTATTTCACTGCCACGTGTGTTTCATAAGCGTACATTGAGAATAAATGGAATGAAAAATTTTCCATTTTGATTGACGTTCGTTTAATAATTTTCGAATAATTAACGCTTGTTAACGTACGTTCTGTTAATGCGCCTAATTAATTTCCGTTCGTGCAAGGTCGCATTGCGATTCATTTATCAATTGAACCTGGGCTCGGGGAATTCGGAAACTGTGTGGCGCGACTACGAATGGTGCCTCGATAATAACCATTGTCATTGCAATTTCCTGCGCAACGTGGTCACGTGAGTAGTGAGTTGTAGTACGTTCTCTTAAATAACGATCTGTCATTTACTGCCTTCGCATCGTTACGCAACGCGATTTACTGATTACCCACGGTTGTTGCGTTATTCTCACGGTTAAAAACTCCCCGCAAAATATCTGTTTTCCCGGGCTGAAACGCGCCCATTAACAACTTAATCCGATCACAGGGTAAAATCGTAAATTCCGACGAAAGCAAGAAGCGCAGTTTTATCGTTGTGACGAAATACCGGAGGAAGCCACGTGCCAGTTTACGAGCTAGACCGGCGATATTACGCGGTCAACCCTTCTTCAATATGTAAATCCTGTCTCGCGCATAAAGATTCCTTTTTACGAGAATGTTTATTACATCAAGCGAAACCAACGCGTTTCATGGCAATTACCACGGTTGGACATAATTTTTACGTACAGCGAAATCGATTACATAAAATTTATTCTTTTAACAGATGTGGCTTCAATATTAATAATAATAAAATAAACACTTCGTAACACTCATAGACGTAATGTGACAGATACAAATTGCAACATTGCGCATTCCCTAATCTTAACTTCTGTGCTCAGTGAAAAAGAATTATCAGCATCTTTCTTCGACTCTATCAGCATTTTTCTTCAACGTGATACTTTAGAAAAAGAGAGCGATATGCTTCAAGCTACCTCATTCTTTCTGCTCAGTTAAAAGGAATTGAACATAAAATCTTTTTCTTCGACTCTATCACCATTTTTCTTCAACTCTATACTTTAGAAAGAGAGAACGATTATGCTTCAAGCTACGTCATTTTTTCTGAAGCGATAGCGACAATTTCATAGGAATGCGTAGTCCATTATTGTGTATATAGTAGCACTTACCAACTTTAGGCAATTTGCCTAATTGTATTGACTTGAGTTTGTTCTCTTAACAAATGTGCTTTTAAATTTAACAATGAACAATTTTGAATACATGTTAGGTACACATCTAGTTTGTTTTCTTTTTTTCTTTACGCCGATACTTACATTCCGTCACGTCCTCCAAAATTCGACACGGGATTGGTAGTGTCCGCGCTTCTCGAATGCTTATCATGCGTGCTTACGTGACTCGATACAACGCGAGTGCGAAAGAGTGCCGACATCATATCTTACCTGATATTTCCTAATAGAATGAAGCTGTTGTTGTGTCGGCTCGGCGTTGGCGTTATCGCTCGTCTCAACATTATTGTTCTGCGTGGAGAGGCGCAGATTATCTTTCGGCGGTCTGGCAGGTGCCCTCTTCTGATCGCGCGGTGGGATGGCAGGCTTGACCCCGTTGAGACCGGCCTAAAAATCCATTCCGAAAACAGCTCGTATTAGTGGTCCCACGTGCCTGACGCCGCGCAAACTACTTTGCCTTTCCCAACTCTTATCGTTTCACATTCCTTTCTCTTTTATCATTATTTTCAGACACAAACTATTCGTATACTTCAGTCGAAGAGGCTTTGTAGAACCGCGTATTTGCATGCAGCACGCGGAAGGACGAGAGGGAAGAGAAAAAGAGGAAGTTGACGTAAGCTAGATAAGCGAGAGAAAGAAAAAGACAGAGCGGGATACACTAAAAGAAAGCATATCAAAAGCAAGATTACGAAAATAAAATGCAGAAGTAAAATGCCAACTCTTGAATGACTCGTCTTGAATGATTCATCAATATAATTGTATCAATATAATTGTATCGAAGATGATAACATATCTAAATACTTGTAATTATTTACTTTTAGTTAACGTTGAATCTATGTCAATTTTTTTTTTATTAAAGATTTATTATGCTATTTAAAATCTTGAACTGTTTATTTCCTTTGTTCGCTATTTAGAAATGTTATTATAATTAAGATATGTACATGATTTACAGTTACGAGTATTTTACTTCACAATTTTTATTGCGCAGCTTGTGGCTGCTTTACCATGCTGTTGATGTTTCATGTTAAATATCCCGCATTCCTCTACGCATGCTCCTCATTTTGCGTCTTAATTGAACGGCAGCCTTCGCACGTTTTGTCTTTGCAATAATAGTCTTATCAAGATAAAGGATATATTACACAAATATAAAGATATTACATAAGTTTGTTCTTTAAAAGATATTCCACAATTTGTGTCTTTATCCAACCATCTAATAAAATTTAATTTAATCAAATAGAATAACACGTGCTTTTATATCGGTCATTTATAGTCAACAAATCCTATATATAATTCCGATCCATGTACATGTCTCGGTTTATGAAAGAGAATTTAATTCATATATATTGCGCTTCCCAGACAGCAGCCGGTGTGGAAGTATTGAAAAGTTGTGAGCGCGACTGTAACAGTTTCCACGATCATAACACGTGCAAAAGGCAAGGAGAAATTACTGTTCTATAGTCTCCGAGAGTATCTCTTTTATAGACAGATCACGACCCTTAGCATCGAGAAATACAACTAGAATGATGATGAATTTAATCAGGTAATTCAAGAGACAATCAACCACAAAGTTACTTTGCAAAGCGTGCAAATTTCCAAAGTGCAAGGACGCCGTTCGAATTATTCGACGAGCGAAAGTTTCTAAACTCGAGACGAAGTCCATTGTGGTTTACCTGCTGTTCGAGAGCGTCGACGTGCGACTTAGGCGAATGGTTCTTCACAGTGTGCATCGGTGATTTTGATACGTTCTGCTTCATACGTTCATCAGAAAATCCGTCGTGTAAAACTGTCGAGTGATCAACTTTATCCCACCCGACGATGGGTGACGACGTGATTTTCGATATTGAAACGAAGTCAGAGAGCGAAATGGCTCTCCTTGTCATCGTCGAGTGCCAATCGGTCATTAAATTTGGAAGGTCGGACATGCTTCTCCAACTAACGCGAAATTTCACGCCATTGTTAGGAAACATAGATGGAACGTCCAACTTAAAACATTCGTACTTAAAAAATAGCCTTGAATTTTTTTTATTTTGTGTACTCGGCGAATCATCGGGACAGTGAGCGCTGTCACGTCGCTCTTTTTCTTGTGGCTGACAATCATTAGAATAACGCGTGTCATCGAATAAACGACTCACAATGCGTTGCTCCGCAGAGGAGAACTCACGCAGGGAATTCCGAGAATTCTGATTTGTCTCTTGGATAGACGATTGGACATGAATGTTATCTCTGACTTTAAAAAACGAGATATTTTCCTTCGGTAACAAGCTAATCTCGCTCGGACAATCGGAGAAGGTAGTCTCCTCGATTTCCTTCTCGGAATCAAGGAGTTCTTCTTGAGAAGAGCTCACGACTTTGTTTTTAAAAATAGGAAAGACACTCAAGTATATAGAATCGCTGGTTGGTAAAGGGGGAGAGGTCATTTTATTATTATCAACTTCTTCGAGAAAGGGGTTTTGCGAATTTTTAGGAAGCTCTTCTGGAAAAACGAAGGCTAATGAACGTTCTCCGCTCTCGCGGCAAAATTTTCCTCGTAAGAAAACGTGGTAATCATCCTCGGAACAGGAGTTTTCGATTTGTTGATTTTGAAAGAGATTCTCATTTCGTTCGTTGAAGGAGCTCCGCATTTGCGAGAACTCGTTGGAATTTTCAATGTTCGTGACGAACGATCGCAGGGTAGGATCGTTAGGATGAGTCTGCATTGGTGAGTTAGGGTATTGCGTGCTATAAGTGCCAAGCGAATCACCATGCTGGTGGTGCAGGATAGACTGTAAGCTGTCGCATATTAAGCTCTTGACTTTGGACCTTACCTTCTTCAAGTTGTGCTTATGGTCTATCGAGCGCGCGACCACGGTCTCTTTAGCGCTATTGTCAGCACTAGACAGCGTCGTGAAGCTATTATCGTTCAAGGAGAGGCGAGGAGAGGCTACGAGCGTAGTTGTCGTCATGGTCATCGTCGTTGTCGCAGCGCACGAACTCGCCTCGTTAATGACACTCGTCGCGCGATCGCGCTTTGGCTCGAGGGTGTTGTGCTTGCTGTTGCCGGGGGTCTTATTCGGTGGCGGGTATATCGGGTGGCACTTGGTGACCGGCACGAAATCCGGTGGACAATCGACGGCTACCTCACGGTAAGGCTTTCTGCCCACCACGAGGAAGCTGCGGTCCGCGTTATGCTCGAGATCGCCAGAGGCCTCGCTCCTCAGGGTGGAATAGCCGCTGGAGATCTGCTGATGTCGCTTCTTTTTTGTCCGCTGCCGGGACGAGGACGAGGAGGAGGAGAGATTGCTTAATTCGATGCCGAGAAGATCGTCGGTCGAACCAGCCCGAATCAATTCCTCGATATCGAGACTGCGGGTTTTTGCCTTCAATTTAGATCGCTCGTCATTTGAACGACGTTTCGTTGGACTCTTGCTGGACTTGCTTACTGACTCGGTTTGGGAAGATTCCATCTGCTGATCCTTGACACGGACAGGCGAGACTTTATCTTGGTCTTGCGGAGTTCTTGGAATTGAAGATTGTTCATCAATCAGTCTGGTTAAGTCTGACATTTCGTCGGATCGCAACAGCCCCTGAAGATCCTGCAAGTCCGTTAATCCATAAGCTGGATTGTCAAAGGAAGTCGCGTCTCGGGTTCGGCCAAAGAGTGGAGCCACCTTGATATCGGGTACCACCGATCTACAAGGAGAACCGAGATCTATCCTTCGTACGTCATAAGTCGGGGAGTCCTTGTGGCTTTTGCTATGCCTGAGCATTAGGCTGGTATCGAGGGGTGCGGTGCTGTCCGATCTACCCGATGAGCTTCTTGGACTCGCGGAATCGTCACTACATGTTTTCAGCATGGTGGGGTAATCCTCCTTAGCAAAAGGATAGTCGTCTTCAATATCGACGCTGGACTCCTTCTGTCCGCCTGCGTCCTCGTCAACGTTCGCGTATACTTCGAAAACTTTAAAGGTACTTTTCAAATCCGGCGAGCCGGTCGCGATTGGGCTATCGCGATATTTGTCGAACCCCAAGTTCTTTCTGGTGGCTTTCACTTTCTCTTCCTCGTCCTCGATATTCAGCTCGATCTTCAGCATGGACGGCTGAAGACCGTTGTGAACGTTAATTGTCCTGGCTGCGTCGGTGACGTCGTGCGTGCGATCGTTCGATACGAGTCTAGCGCGTCCGTCCGCGATGGTGCGCGTCTTAAGGGTCTCGTTTTTAAGGTTTAGGGAGAGGTCGAGGTCGCTAGCGCTACGGGGACGATGTTGGGATAGGCCTTCTGTAGAAGGGTGTCGGGCACATCAACAGGTAGCTCCCGATGATGGCCCAGGGCGCCAGGGGCCCACATCTCATCGGGCCCCAGTCCCTCCTGCGGCTTCTTCGCGTCGCGCGAGCTTGTTGTTCGCACGAGTTGTTGTTCGCGCGAATTGTTGTTCTCTTGCAACTGCAATTGCTGCTGCTGTTGCTGAGAGTGTATGTCCGTCACGCCACTACCGCTACGTCTTCGGGACCTAAAATAAGAGAGCAGAGCTCTGCATTAATGTTACTGTTAACGGATTATTAATATTGTTTTCAATTCCCGAATGTTTTTTAAATTTCTCAATATACTGTAGGTACTAATATACTGAAATTTGTGTGAAAGTATAAAATCTCCGCAAAAGTGTATCTTGAGCTAAGCTTAGTAAAAGACAACTTTAATATTGTATCTAACAAATATATAAATTATTTATATATTTTATAAAAGATAAGATAATACATGTCTTTGAAGATTTATACATATTTTAATTATATATTTATCTAACAATAAGTATAATTATTATAAATGTTATATAAATATTATTAAAATGTGTCAGATAATTGAAAATGTAACTTCTGATAGGTAGAACCTTAATGTGTGATCTTTAATAAGGTAAACGTTCGACGGAATAGTACACAGTCGAATAACTGTAATTCCTTTTTTTATCAGATGTAGGAAACTAAGTGAAGGATAACTAGTTATTAGTATATTCTTTACACGCAATCTGGGTGAGGTAAATTGTTAGCGCTGTTATGAACATAAAATAGTACATCCGAATATTATTATACATTTATGGATAATTGGATATCTTTAAGGTATAAACTAATTCACTGTTGACATGAGATACCTTTGACAATGCATCATTAAGGAAGATCATATTTATTATATAATAAAAAAAAACTACATATACGAGAAACGATAAAATAGCCCTGTAATAATCGGTTAGTATCTTTACTATAAATAACAGTAACAACGAGAAGTAATATATAATAATAAAATATTACTTTTAATAATAATACTTTATTCTTCCTTGTCAAAATAAATAGATACACTAAGAAAAATATCTGGTTGAAAACAGATAAACCAAAGATTTTGATATCAGTAGTCAGAATCTTTCCAGTTATCTCAACTAAAATTCCAGTAGATTTAACTAGAAAATTCTAATTCTCATTCATTTTCAATCAGAATTCCAATTAATCCAACCAGACATTTTTTTCAATGTAGTACTCCAATTATATAGTTAATATCAAGTTTTCTTTAAAAAATTACTGAGACAAACTTGCGAAAAATTATAAAAATTGTTAAAAAAAAATGCAATTTATCGTTGAGAGAGAAAGTGCCATTTATCTCACAATCAGTACGATGCCTCTTCTTTTCCTATCTCTTTTTTCTTTCTTTCTTTGGAATATTCCTTCTTTCCATATTTTTAGATTTCATAGAACGTGACGGTGCTCACGTGGAAATAAATTCAGCTATATATCATGACTCTCGATAGTACATGTTACATGATGTCTCAAACGAATGTAGAATCTCCTGGTCGTTCGATCGTGCGAAAAGTCTTTGGGACATGCACACGGCAACAGACCGGGAAGAAACTTTCGATACGATAAATCCTAAATATATGTATTACGGCTTGTCAGTCGCCGGTTTATCATGTTAGGAAAAGAGTTTGCGATAGTTATTTTTCGTTATAAAGTTGTTCTGACTAAAGTAGTTTAAAAGAGTAGCATAAAAATTCTTAATAAATCGTGAGAAATGTTAAATCGTAATTTCTTTCGTAATAATTAACAATTAAATTTTTATGCAAATTGAAAAATCTACTACAATAGGTATGTAACTAAATTATATATAATTATATATAAATTATATAAATACATCATATTTAAATAAATAAAATTAAATAAATAAAACTATTTAAATAAATTTAAATATATAAAGAGCATTCAAAGCCAATGCCAGTTGATCGGGTGTATAGAAATCTCTTTATTCTCGATAAATATAACAAAAATGTAATATACGTTACAACCCTTTGTTTTGGGTCTTTCTCAATATAAAAACCAATTCTAAACTTCGTCTACATTAAATAAATTGTGGTTAACGGTCGATCTAGTACAATTTTCAAAAAGATGGCGAAACCGCGACCACCGTCTTTCTTTAATTAAAGGCCAATTAGCTGTATGAAGAAAAGAATGATCACTTAGTGAAAACTTAGAATTATAACAAATATTGTAAAAACTTACATAAATTAAAACGGTGTTATATGGCTAATTCTGTGTTCAGTTATTACAGAACGTTGCGTCGTGTTCCAGTTTATATGATTTCTGTATTCATTCACTCAGAGAAAAACGTCGTATCAGTAACTATAAATTTGTAATGAAATAGCGCCTCAACTATATACATATTATTAAATTCTAATAAGAGAATACTAGATTAAGTGAACTAAGAAAATATAGTACATTAACCATATAAACAATTTATAAATGGTTAATATTACTATATTTTCTTAGTTCACTTAACTTACTTATTGTTCTTATTGAAGCTTTATAATACATAGTTACAAATTTGTGTATGCATTTCTTATTTATTTTTGTCTTCCAAGTTTGAAACCAACGCTGCGCCTTTTATTGTAAGCCGAGTGGTTTCCTTCTTAGGAGAAACTGAACTCCGCTACGTCCCTCTGGTGACAAAGCTGCGTACTACTCGTACTGAGCGACACTTTAAAAATTTTTGTCTAAACTAGAAAAATGTAATTGTTATATCTATTTGCATGAAGTCCAAGTAACTACTCAATGTAGTTGAGTCACTATTTCAGTACCAATTAACAGTGCATACAATTTGTTATCGTGACTATATTTTTATAATATTCAGCACTATTTTAGTTTCTATTACTTTATAAAACTAGTTACAGGTACTTCAATTGCAAAAGTTGCCAAATTTATAGTTGCTGGAACTATTTCGTTTTCTCTCAGTGTTTCTGTGTTGATTTCGAAAATGATCCATATTAAACAACAGAAACAGAGATAGACAACAAATAATAATAAGATGAGAAAGGCATCATATAGTGGATCTAAAGAATAAGTATCGTTTTGTAAATTTAAACTCTGTTTCTGTTGTTTAATATGGATCATTTCCGAAATCAACACAGAAATGAATACAGAAATCATATAAATTGGAACACGACGCAACGTTCTGTAATAACTGAACACAGAATTAGCCATTAGCATGAATTTGATTAGGAAAATATCAAGATTTTAGACGAAGAAATAATTCATAATAAAAGATTGATTTCGGAAATAATCCATATTAAACAACAGAAACAGAGCTTGAATTTATAAAACGATACTTATTCTTTAGACCCACTATATATGGATTTGTTTGCGGAGTCATGATGCCTTTTTCATCTTTTCTTATTATTATTTGTTGTCTATGATCATATGATGTTTTTATTTTGACTCGCATTACAATTCAAAACGTCGGCAGCACAAGACCTTTATGTCGGTCCACGAGATTTCTCACATGTAAGTTTAAGTAAATTTAGAATAATTGCAGACGAAATATTTTTACAATAAGTAATTTACCCGTTTTGACACGAATGACAGCAAATTTGACAATTTGATGAGCGAGGTGTTTGGCTACTGATTCAATGTACATAACACTGTTTTAATTTATGTAAGTTTTTACAATATTTGTTATAATTCTAAGTTTTCACTAAGTGATCATTCTTTTCTTCATACAGCTAATTGGCCTTTAATTAAAGAAAGACGGTGGTCGCGGTTTCGCCATCTTTTTGAAAATTGTACTAGATGGATTATTTAATGTAGACGAAGTTTAGAATTAGTTTTTATATTGAGAAGAACCTAAAACGAAGGGTTGTGTGAAACGTATATTACATTTTTGTTATATTCATATCGAGAATAAAGAGATTTCTATACACTCGAACAACTGGCGTTAGCTTTGAATGATTTTTATATATATTTATTGATAGATTCTTCGAGCCTGAATTTATATATTTGATCATATTTATATATTCCAAATAATACTTCCCACAAAGTAGCTACAGTTTGCAAAATTGGATAATAAATCTAATAAAACATATCTAAATTTTATCAAATTGTTTGCACTATGTTATCAGCTGATTAAACGCTTGTGTTGTGTGTGCATGTTTGCTGTATTATATTTAAATACTTAGAAATAAAAAAATCTTTTCTTGATTTGTTAACAATTTTTATTTATAAAAACTAAATAAAATGTCAATACTTATTTTTTCAATAAATAGATAAATTGAATATATACGAGAACACAGATCTAAAAATATATCTGTAATGGAAAAACAACTCTATGTCTGATTATCATTTTTTAAATAAATATACATATGTGCCATAATTTTATGCATATTGCTTTACACCAATATTTGATATCGAATATTAAAATATTATGAAAAGGAATGATCGCGCGGAAGCTCTCTACGTTAAATCCAAATTCATCAAAAAATCTGCATTTTTTCTAATTTGATAGCACTTTGAACGTCCAATGCAATAATTTCCACTTACGCGTGTGCGTTTCTATTTTGCAGTATATTGCAAGATGTCGGAAATTAGATTTATGCGACAAAGACCGTCCATGTATAAAGGACCAATAGGCCTTTTCGCGGATCTGATTACATTGTCGAGCGTACAGCATTCAACACAAGAACGCCATTACACTCGTTTGGTTCTTACGCAAATACGCGTGGAAGGTTCATAGAGCGAACGATAAAGAAGGAGACAATGGAAATCGTGAACAAAAGCGATAGGAAATGCGGTACTACGATTCAATATATACTTGAATATAAATGAGAAGCCCTACGTTTTCGGTGGCATCTTATGCAATGCGTTTAATGAAATCTTTAGAATTCTTGTTATCTATAGATTAAAAGTGCAACCGCCGCGTTTTCTGTATTTATATAAATATTTCTCTCCCTATTTCATAGCTTTATGTTTATCACTTGATATAGTATATGAAAAACATTGCAGGCTTGTAATTTCAAAACATATTTTTCATTAAATAACGATAAAGTAGTTGTAGAGTAGTTTGTATATATATATATATATATATACAATATTTTATATTTTATATATTTTAATATATTTATTTTTTACTATATTTTATGTTAACTTAAAAATTAGCACTTTGGCAGTGCGGATTTCTCTAAAAAGCCTCTTCACAATACGCTTC